AAAATATTAAGTGTAATATTATACAGACCATGCTTTTAGCAAAGTTAAATAATTGCTTTTATGTTGTAGGTGTACTACAATCAAAATATGATTTTTGTTGTTGTTGTTTTGTGTAGATTTTTTTGTTGCAGCACTGAAAGTGTCTTTATACAAATGTCACTTCCTGCTTTGTTTGTGTCTGTAGGTGTTTTTGGATCATGAGTGAAGAGACAGGGAGTCCGGGGTGGAGATGAAGAGTCTTTTATTAATGTCACTTTCTATTCAAGTGTCAGATGAGAAGTTGCTGTATCACTGTGACCGTATGATGTCTGAAGTGGAGGTGCGTCTTAACCGAGTGTGATGGTGGGTTAGACATTTCCTTTAAATCCTGTTCTGACCAGACTTCAGTAGATTCTGTGAGTGGAGGCATCAGGCCACTATCCTTCAAGTGGATACCATTGTTAGGAAACACTGGCTTAAGTTGTTCACTTCAGTCCAACCATAACACTTTGTGTAGCAAACCTGTGGAAGCCCTTTTCCGCCATGGAATAAAAAAAAAGAAAAAAGTTATTACAACTTTTATCTCACAATTCTAACTTTTTCCCCTTGTAATTCTGAGTTTACATCTCACAATCCAGACTTTTTCTTCTTGCAGTTCTGGATTTACATCTCACAATTCTCAGTTGATATTTTGCAACAGTTTTTTTCTCAGAATTCGAAGTCCAGATTTTTTTCTCTGAATTTCACAATCCTGTTTTTTTTTGGTTCCCGCATTAAATAAAGAAATAAAAAAAGGTAATTGCAACTTTTTTTCTCACAATCCTGACTTTTTTCTTGCAATTGTAAGTTTATCTTACAATTGCAGAATTCTGAGAATTCTCTCAGAATTGCAAGATATATACTTGCAATATGAATTCTGAGAATTCTCTCAGAATTGCAAGATATATACTCAGAATTGCTAGATATAAACTCACAATTCTGACTTTTCAGTGTCATTGAGGTTGTGTTCTGAAAGAGTTTGGTACATGAGCTAATGGGGTTGTGCATGTCACGCAGAAAACACTCTCTGGGAAAAAATAGCTCAAACTGAAATGTTGGGAGCTGATTTTTTTCAGCCCACTGACCCACTTTTCAATTGTTCTCAGCACCAGACAATAGAGACAAATGGTTTCATAACTGGTGCACAATACCTGTGTGTTATTCAGCATTATTGTTGCACAGGTTTTTTTTTTGTGAAGGGCTTGTTTGGGTGTCGTTTTTGTTTTTGTGTGCCATGTCTTTATGTAACCTCCCTCTGTTGCCCCCTGTCATTTTGAAAAAGCTGACAATTTCTCACACACAAGCTCAAGTTGCCCTCTCATTGGCTCCAATTGTGCGTCAGACCCCAAGGCTGTGACGACATGAGTGGTTTCACTGATCCAGGGCTCAACGAACGACAAACGCGAAGCTCGTCCTTCCAACAGAATGAAAGAGTGAGTCGCTTTAACTCACACCCCTAACTCCTTTTTTTGGGGTTCAGGATTTTTTGATGAATAGAAAGTTAAAAAGAGCGGAAATGGAAATCTTCTGTTATAACATTATAATGCCTTTAGTGTCTCTTTTGATCAATTAATATCTTTCTTTTTAAAAAAACTCAAAACTTAATTTTCAATGGTAGTGTTAGTCTAAAATATTTTCTGCAAGTATAGACACAAACTTAAATGTTATACCTTTTGACATTGCACTATTTTGATAAAACTTGTCTGTGCCGTAAATGCGATATTTTGACATATATAAATGCGGTAACTTCACTGAAACAGGCAAGGAAACCAGAATGGGTCTTAAGAATCCACAAAAGACTGTTCACATCAAGCAAATTTCAACCAGAACCTGCTTTTCACATTTCACAGTTGTCTCACTACTAAAAGAATGTGTTTAGACAACGCAAAAAACAAACAAAAAAACATTTTTGGTTTGAAATAATTAAAATGATTGCTTTACATTTGTGCTTTTAAACCTAATCCATTGCCTCATACACTTCCAGTCTTCTGCATTCTGAGGTTATCAACGAAATGCCACATATCTTGTAAAGCTTAATGGATAATCAACCCAGAACATTGCTTTAATATGAAGTTGTCTGTAATCATTGGTCTTTCTGGTCGCTTATTCCTAACTGAACACTGATACTGAAAGTGTCCTCCATTGCTCTCTCCCTTTTTCTAAAACTTTTCCTTGAATCCAGCGTTTGCCTTTAGTGCTGTGATCAGCATCTTGTTCGTGGAGGAGAGTGGCGGAGCACCACAAAGTGGACGAGAGAAACCGAAGGGAGCAGAGGGCAGATTAATCAGGCAACATCAAAGAGAGCAGCGGGGCGAAGGGAGGGAATGGGGCAAAAGATGAATGGAGACCAGCCGCCTGATTTTTTTTTTTTTCCATGCCATCCCTCAGTGCTTCGTTTGGCAGTAGGATGGCAAAACCATTGTGCAGGGGCCACATGGAACGCCTGGAACACACTGTCGGCTCCTGTTTTTATTCTGCATGCCAAAAAAGGAGGAGAGTGGAAGACAGGGAGACTCTTACTCTTTAAGTCCATCTTTCCGTTTGATATTTTCACGTCTTCTGATCTGATTACTTTTTTCTCGTTTTTTCAGTATTTTAAAGGGGTCATATGATGCGATTTAAATTTTTCCTTTCCCTTTGGAGTGTTACAAGCTCTTGGTGCATAAAGAAGATCTGTAAAGTTGCAAAGACTAAAGTCTCAAATCCAAAGAGATATTCTTTATAAAAGTTAAGAGTCAGCCACACCTACCTAAAACGGCTCGTTCTAACACGCCCCCACATACCTACGTCGCTAATGTTATTTTTAGCAGCATCATATGACCCCTTTAAAACATTATTCACCAGGACAACCCTTAAATATTGCTCACACAGTGATGAATATCAGATGTCGGCTTGTTTCTGTCTTCTGACCAACATCCACACTTTATCTCATGTGGTGCTGTATTTCAAAGTAGGTCTTTCTCTCTCAATCGATACACACATACATACCATAGGCCTTGTGTGAAGCACTTTGAAAGTGGCCTGCTGCTCCGCATGCCCTCTCTGTATTCAGTTGCTCAGTTGGCTCAAAGATAACTCCAATTTGGGTCTCTCATCCTGACTGCAGACTCAGCACACGTACATTACACAGTGTTCCTGTCTTGTCCTTTAGTTGGACTCGCTACTCTCTGCACACTTTGTCACAAAGCCTGTCATGAGTCCACTTCAAAGAGACGCTACCAACCTGATACCATGTGACAACTTAAAATGATCGGTCATTAGCTCTGATGAATTGAAGAGCATCTCTGGCTGTGCATTCGCTCCTTTATGTTTCACTTTGTCCTGATTGCTACATCCTGCCTTATTTGAGAAAAGAACAGTCATTCAATTGTCATGTGCCATTATCTCACGAATCAGGCCACTAAGCCTCACTTGGCTCATCTCACACGTGACACACTTAAATCTGTATTAATGTCATTGCATTAAATATCAAATCAAGTTGTGTTTATTTTAAAGATGGTACAAAAATGTACATTTATGTTATTTATGTATCTAGCAGACACTTTTATCCAAAGCGTCTTACGAAATGTAATTGGACAGCATTGCCCAAAATTAGTATACCATGATCATTGTTAATGTGATGAACTATACTAGGGAAAATGATATTATACACCCACCAAAAGCAACTTAGAAAGTGGTTTGAAATATAGTTTCTATAAAAGCTCAGATGCCACATATTTTGATATGTGTTTTGAGAACTGGGGCATTTATACTTGGACATCAGATCAATAATGAAAATGTCACAAGCAAGTATTAAAATAAGTCAAAACAACTAAAAATCAAGAGATTTCTTTATAAAACCTTTATAATATTTTTTTATAATGGCTATACATTTATCTAGTTATTCCAAGCTGTAAAATATTTTATCAAGTAGAAACTGTGAGTAAAAATTATTTTTAAAATTCCTTATCCAGTAAAACTGGAAAAGTCCTGGGACTTTCGAATATTGTTGGGGGGCATTGGAGTCAAAAAGGTTGCAAACCACTGGCAAAAACTATACTCTGATGATGTTTACATTTATAATTTGAAAAATTGAAACAATTCATCTATTGATTACTATGAGGGAATAGTTTATTGTACCAATTACCACATAATATGTTTATTTTATTTTATAAGGAATCGTTTTCATCTGAATATAAACATGTCAAGCAATTCCTATGAAACAACAGGAGCAGTTAGACTTCCATATACTGTACATGATTTAGTCGTACTGTATGCAGAGCTCAGTATTTGATTTGATTTTGTGTTGAAACTATTGAAAAAGGTCAAATTTGATTTTAACATTGAACTTCAATTTGTTTTTTGAAAAAGTCACTGAAAAAGTTTTCAAAAAAGATTTAGAAAGCAACTTCTGTGACTGTCTAACAAATTAAGAAGCAAAACCCAAACTTTTCTACGAACCCTCAACCAGTAACGAGTAAAGAAATGATGAACTGTTGTTTTTTAATGTTGTATGTTTTTATGCAATGAGGCTATGCTGAGCTGAGAAAGATGCAATGATCTGAACTGACAATATTTTAATGGAGCACATAAAAGCGTGAAAGTGATCAAGGAGGTCGGCGTGCCTGTGATCGCCACATTCGCTCGCTTTGAACTCTCAGGGAGGAGCACAATGCTCTCATTCAGAGATTGGCTGAATGACAGATGCTCCCTCTCTCGTTCTCTCTCACCCCCTCCTCTCTGTCTCTCTAACGTTAATGAATTCAAACAACCCGCCCCCTACCCATCCAGCTCTCTTTCTCTTTCCCTCTTTTTCTCTCACCACAGAACGTTTCCAGCCTTGGCAAGTTCCTCGTGATTTGCTCTCATCGTCTTAATGAATTCAACTGGGAGTGCATTGGCCCTGATGCCCACCCCCTCAGAGAGAGGTCCAGTGCTCTTGCATATATCTGCAGGGCTGCTTCATGCTCTTCCATTGTTCCATCAGCTTCTTTCACCAACAGGTCCTCCGAGAGGAAGTGTGAGAGAAAGCTAAGGAGGTGGGACGCCTTGATGCAAAAGGAGCTGCTTTGTGTCAGTGCACCTGTACTTTTAAGTGGAACTTCTTAAGGCTGTTAGAAGATACGTTTTTATATTGGAAAACTCACCTGTGGACAGGTGAAGTGGAATCATGGGTGTGATGTCACTGCTGCTGTTGATGGCGATTGGTTGGTGTGGTGGGGCGCCACCGGCGAGAGAGGTGTACAGAATGCCACAGAGCGCACTTAAAGGTAGGCCAGGTATTCGTCATTTTGGCTGCTTCTACATTCTTAGAAGAAAGATACAAAACGGTATAGTCTGTGCACCCTTTCAAAAGCTATTAATATGTACACTTTAGGTAGGCTACTAATACATAGCTACATGGTACTAACATGTACCATTTAAGGGTAAATAAAGTACAAATATGTACTTTTTGGATTTTGTACTTTAAGGTATCACCCCAGTGACTGAGAGTATATATCTAGAAGATGTAATAACACTGTGACGTCTAAACCAATCTCATGATTATGCTTTCTTTTTCTTTTCAGTAATCTTGTTGCAAAAGTGTTGCAAATGTAGAACTGCTCAAAAAAACAACAACTTTCAACCAGAATCAGTTCTCGACTCTTGTGTGCCATCACAGTGAGACAGTGTTCAGGAGTTTAGCGTAGTCACCACAGAGGCCAGAGTTCAGGCCGTTAATTAAGATCTCAATCAGCTTTGATGTCTCTCTCACTCTTTGGGATATAGAGAAGAGGGGACAGCTGAATGTGAATCGGTGTGTTTGAACTTTGCGTTTGGTGTCTTTAGTGCTGCTTTGAGCATGACTTTGTTCACTTGTCCTGATGGAAAAACCATTACTGATAAAATACTGCATACATATAGATTTTTTTAATGTAAATTTATTACATTTATTACAATATTTATTATATAAATGTAGTTTTATCACAGCCAGTATTGCATTGAGAGATTCCCAATGGGTTTTGTTTTGCTGAAGAAAAATCTATTCGGACTGTTTGCAAATGTTGGATTTCTCCCCGCCTAACAGGGAACAGGGGAACGTTCCTGCAAGGTTCTCTTCAACAATGTTAATAAAAAGTTCATTCAAAGTCATCAGGTTTTTAATAACGTTCTCAAAATGTTAGGACGAAAACGTTATTTATACATCATTCACGGAATTCGTGAATTGTTCAGAGAACATTCAAAAGTAACATTACCGTAATGTTTGCAAAATGATTAAATGGAATGGTCCCTTAATGCTTTTTTAACGTATGCACAACCAAGAGTTTTTAAATGCTTTTAAAACATTTAAAAATCTGGACATTTTGAACATTCTTAGTACATATTTTTGTTAGTTGGGTCTCTGTCCTGAAGTTTTTGTATTTGTTTATATGCATATCTGACCATTTTATTGTTGAAACTAAAATATTGCATTCGTCTTCTCTAATTCACATAAACACCATCTGCTCCGCTGAGGTTAAATGTCTCATATTTCTTCTTTATACCTACTTTTAATGTTTTCCTTTGATTTGCTTTGTGTTGGTTGTTTTGAGGGATGTGCTCACTTTTGCTTACATCTGTTTCTGCTTCTCTCTGCAGCGCTGTCTGATAGAGGAACAGTAGTGATGGAGGCCGCTCTGTCCCGCGCTCTGTCTGCCGTAGACGCTGCCGTATCGGACCGCAGCAAGGCCGAGGCAGGCTGCAGAGGGTGTGTGCCCTGTCTGTTTCAGGACTGTGGACAGCGAAAAGACGCCTGTGGTAAGCTTGAACACACATGCTTTATTTGACTCTTTGACTTTTAACACGGATGCTGATGGTGGTGGTTACTCCGTAGCATCTCCAGAGGACACACAGTCAGAGCCGAGCTGTGAGGTCATATCTCGCGCCCAGCAGGAAGCTGATGAAGGAGAGAGGAGCTGGTTGCTGAGTCAGGCCTGTGGCTTCTACAAACGCCGTTGCACACCTGCACAGGTGAACAGAGACCTGTGCATCAGAATCATGGGAGAGAGCTGCAGCGCTCGGGTCCTGCAGTGCAGTCTGCTCAACACCATGCAGAACACCATGCAGACCACAGCACAGGGTAAGACAAAAAACACAAAAAGTTCAGTGGATTATGTAAACATACTCAGAACTTTCAAATGTTTCTTTAAAAATCAACATGTAGTTTTACTGATATATAAATAATGAAGGTCCCTTTTAATGTAATTTCAGCTTTGACATTGATCATTTGGCTTCCCTTATGTAGCTGTGTGTGGCCAGCGTTTCTCTGTCTCGCAAAACCTGACACAGCCTCGCGCTCGTATCATGGGGGGATCTCCTGCTCCTCTGGGCAGCTGGCCATGGCTGGTGAACCTTCGGCTGGACGGGGCTCTGATGTGTGGGGGTGTTCTGGTTGACAGCTCTTGGGTCCTCACTGCCGCCCACTGCTTTGCTAGGTAAAAAATACATATTACATGTATTACAAAATACATACCTATATAATTTAAAAACTTAATGTCAGGTGGGATATCTTCAGTGTTGGGGAGTAATTAGTTACATGTAACGGCATTAAAGAATTTCATTACAAAATAAATGTATCTGTAAACAGTTACAGAGAAAAAATGTGTAATTAAATTACAGTTACTTTTGAAAATGTCAACGATTACAAAGGGGGTTACATCTGAATATGTTCACACATACATACAGATTTAATTTATATCTTTCCCAAATTGCATTGACTGCTCTAAAAGATGTGAGGAGTTTAGGACAAAGAATAGGACACATGCTTATTTGATAACTTTTATTTTCTATTTGGGTTTAAGTATATGCTTTATTTTTTAAGATTGACCAAGGCATTGTTAGATGCCAGTGTTTCCTGTCATAGCTGTGCAAACATTTGATTAATGTTTAATGAAAAAAAACAGTATCATAGCTATTAAACTATTTCTTAAGATTTGAAATCAGTATTTAACCTCAGAACGATCTCAAAGTAAAAAGAAGTGCTAAAGTCTGATTTTGTGATGGCTGTGCTTTAAAATTAAATTTTTACAAATCTTAATTCATAAATCGTAATTCAAGTGATGAAGGATTTTGAAAGTCTGACAGTTATCAGCGTTGAGTACTGTAAGGTTAACCCTGCCTACTCTAAATATTTGAAAATGATTAACAGTTGAAAACATTTGTTAGAAATTTAGAAAAGTAATCCAAAAATAATTAAATGTATTAATTACTATCTATTACATTCCAAAGTAAACTTCCCAACACTGGACACCTTTGCCTTTCTACTTTAAAATCTCGCTATTGGTATTAATAAGAAATTTTCCACTGAGAACACTAAATGATTTTACACTTTTATAGACCTTATCTAGGCCCTGCCCCTTTTCAGCACTGCGCTCGTTGTCTTCTGTCCTCCGGTTTGTATTTCCACAGCGTAACGTTAAGGTCAAAAGAAATGTATGAATGAAACACTTGTTTTAAAATCTTCCTGGTCAACTGACATTTGTTATGACATCTATTTCGAACATTACAATGCACATGATAACTTTCGTTAGCTCTACAATAAGTAAATCCACTTCACCAGGTAATTACTCTTTAACAGTGAGCTACCGCAAAAATTGAAGTTTTTCTGTGCATTTGTCTCTCTGACGCATAAGGTCTATAAAACAGGTGGATTTTTGGATTAGCGACATTTCAAGCTGTTGTAAAATAACAGAACAATACACAATTTTAACAGCAATTAAATGTGCCATAACATTAAAAAGTAATAAACCACAGCGTTGTCTTTCATCATATTGCTGTTTTCACCATTTAATGAAAAGGATTATAAATTGTGCTTTGTGGTATTGTTTTATTTGTGAATGTACTCGTTTTGTGAACATATAAAATGTATCTCCCCCAATCAGGAGCCGCGGTGAGAGTTACTGGACAGCTGTAGTGGGAGAGTTTGACCTCACAAAAACTGACCCTGATGAGCAGATCATGAAAGTCAATCGTATCATCACTCATCCGAAGGTAAGCATAAAAAACTTTCTTGTAATATTATATAATATATATATATTTTTTAAATATATAAAACAATGAAGAGTGTTTTATTATTTTTTTTTATGTGTCCCATCTGTGTCCAATCCTTTTCTTTTGGTGTAGTTTAACCCAAAGACGTTTAATAACGACATTGCTCTGGTGGAGCTGAGTTCTCCAATAATTCTGTCTGAACGGGTCACACCTGTCTGCCTGCCCTCTGACCTCGATCCACCGGCTGGTACACCCTGCTTGGTGGCCGGCTGGGGCTCTTTGTATGAGGGTAAGAAAATCTGCATAGCTCATATTTTAGAAAAAGAGCTCAGTAATATCACACAATGTTTGCTTAAAATGTCGTGAAGTGTTTATTTATGTTTGTCTTGATTCTCTGTATGTGTGTAGACGGACCCTCTGCAGATGTGGTGATGGAGGCGAAGGTGCCCCTGCTGTCTCACACCACCTGTCGCAGTGCACTGGGGAAGGAGCTGCTCACAAACACCATGTTCTGCGCTGGGTACCTGTCTGGAGGCATTGACTCATGCCAGGTATCTCCACATTGTCATACTAGCTTGCATTATGAACCCCACACCTGACGAAGAAACATCACATATGCTTTATAAACACTACAGCTGCTTTACAATCACCTGACTTGAATCTGTCTCTTTGCATGTGTACAGGGTGATTCTGGAGGGCCGTTGATCTTCCAGGACCGTTTATCGGGACGGTTTCAGCTGTTTGGCGTCACCTCTTGGGGGGATGGCTGTGGGGAGAGGGGAAAGCCTGGCGTTTACACTCGGGTCACCGCGTTCTCTGATTGGGTCATGACAGAGATACAGAGTGAGTTGCTCAACATGTTGCACACACACTACTGAAACAAAGAAATCTCCACCACCGTGAGTTTAAACCCTCCCACTCTTTCTGCTCAATGAAAAGCCACAAATCCTGCAAAATCGTTTACATTCCATTCTCCAAATTCCAGAGTCCTTTGGGAGTCGGGAGCCCACATGTTCTGAGCTGCTTAAGACAACTGAGCTGTCTGAAGAACAGCAGATGTCAGAATTTACCACGCTCTGCCACTTCTACACACTATCCTGCTCTTCGACCCTCGACCCCTCTGCCTGCCAGCGTCTCGCTCAGGACAAATGCCAAAGCCGGTTTAAGAAGTGCCGTAAGTTATTCAGACAGTTTAAATTAAAAAACCTAATTACATATTTAAACAGAATTAACCTACAGTACAGTACAGTACATGCTTCTTTGGATGTGCATACTCATTCTTTATTATTATAATTTTCCAGATTTTGGAATAATAGTAAAGTCAGCAAACTATGAAATAACAGCAATGGAAGTATGTGAGTTATGTAGCTCTGCACCTTAAAGTGCATTCTGGGATGCTTTTTAAACTGCATTTAAGGAGTTCACATGTATGTTGGGCACTTGTTGGCTGTTTCATAGACTTCTATGAAATTCAATTCATCAATTAAAAAAAAAAGTGAATTTAAACTAGTTTTTAAATAAATTTGTATGTAGGCACAATTAATTTCAATTAATTTACATTTAATTTAAACTTTAAGATCATAAATTTACCCTAGTGAAAAATGAACATACTAAAATGCATTTGAAATAAATTCATGTCATGTTAAGTATACTACAAATACATTTACATATTTATGTACTTGTTTAAAATACCCTGCAATTGTACTTTTAGTATACTAAACTCATATACTTAAAGTCTGCTAAATTGGAACAACTAATTGTGTACTTAATGCACTTTAATTGTGCAGAAGTAGTGCTGAGGTCCAACTAAAGATATGCTGAAGTATATTTGATTGTGCTAAAGTGGAACTATTGCAAGTATACTTCAGGTAAACTTGAAATATCTTGCATTTAAAGACCAGTATTATTCAAAGATCATATAATCCTCATCAATAGTGATATTAAAACACATTTTAGGCTTAAAATTAAGAAATGTGCATTGTGCACAAGTGATACTCCAAATAAAGTTTAATTGCAATTTTTATATCAGTAAGTCTCGAGTGATATGTCAGTAAATATATTACTTAGGGTAGTTACGTACTGTATGTCCAAACTTGACTCGCGGTATACTTTGATAAAAAATACAAAGTAACAGTAAAAACAGTAATACAGTTAAATGTAGAAAACTATTTTCTATTTTAATATATTTTAAAATATATTTACCTTTCCTCTGTCTACTGCCTTCCTCACAGTCCAGTGTCTTTCTCTCTACAGAGCTGCATTCCTTCCCGCAGACTCTGCTGGATTTGCTTCAGAGGGCCGATGACTACATCAGAGATAAAGTCGATCTGACCTTCTTCACTCAGACTCTTCCTCAGTTGGTGGAGAATGTGTACAGCTCTGCTCATATACCACGAAGACGCAGAAGTGCACTTGAAAAAGGTAGAGCCATTAAACCTTTCTGCATTGTACTTGTACAGCCAATCAGGGCTCAAGATGGATATACAATGCTTTCCAAAATGAAGTAGCTTCTGTATAGATCTGTATACATCGTTCTCCATATTGTTATTCTAAACAACATATTATTCTCAAAGAGCAGGTAGGCCGGCCAGCACTATTCCAGCAAGTGGGCCCCCTGGTGGACGACTGGGAGAGCTACCTTACAGGCATTGCTGAAGATCTGGATCAACACAAAGAACTAAAGAACTCACAGGAGCTGTCTCAGGAGCAACAACTCTTCACTCCGGTAAACAGTCTAATTTTATATAAGGTTTTAGATGTGATGGAGAAGCATGTTCAATACATTTCTGTTTAGGACAGACATTAGTTAACAATGAACTATTTTGATTTGATGAAATTTTCAGGACGAGGACAGTAAAAAAGCATCTCTTCAGCAGCTCGACGGATCACTGCGCTCCTCCATTGCTGCCCTGCGTTCCAAACTAGAATCATTGCGCATTCCTGTCATACCAGAATTGGACTATCAACTGTTTCAGAGGGATTTCACCTTTCCCACCACTGGAAAACAACAACAGGATAATGGTGCCAAATCTAGGGAGTCTGTATTGTCAGCTGACATTTGGACTGCTCTGATATATAAAGCTCTGAGAGGAAGCGGCACAGGAAGTGTCACAGGACGTCCGGTGATGACAGCATCCCCTCGGGATGATATGGATACAACATCCAGATCTGTGGAACCTTCAACGCAACCACTGAAACTCAAGAACCAGGAACCTTCTGACTCAATGCTTGAAAAACACCCTGTCCCTACCCAGATGCCCCTGCTTCAACAGCCACTCTTCAAAAGTAAGAGTTAATTATGGGAAACTGAGTGCCAAAATATTGAGGAAGAATAACAGGAAACTTTAAGTCCTAAAAGTTCTTAAAAGGACTTTTCTGCAATAACTGGATTTTTTTTTCACCTGTTAAATTCAAATCATATATACTTTAAAAAAGAATTAATGTAAATGACTGAACAAAAATACAAGCTTCAGACTGAATTTAAACCCTCGAATGGCCTATAACCACTTTTTGTCATTAGGTCTCTCTGCGATTTTACACCAGAATAAAATACATATAATTTAACGTTTAAAAGCAAAGAAATTAGGACAATCAGGAATACTAGTATGGTAAGTTTAATATTGATATATAAATAAAATTATTATAATAATTGTAATTAATAAATAATAATAATAATGCATTATTTATTTAATAATAAAATATATTAATTATATTATTATTAATAATAATAAATACTTTTTTTCTTTCTTTTTTTTACAGTGCAGTTGTATTATTGCAATAGTATTGCAGAATGATATTAAACCATGAATGTCCAGACTAATAGACTAATAATTGTTTCAGAGCTCCTGTGGAGGAGAAAGAGAGATCTACACAAGCGACAGAAACGAGGAGCCAGTGACAAAGGTACAGTTTCTCGTTTCATTTACATTTAGCATTTCTATTCATTGGAAATTGTGTCATGGAGCCTACACACTTCAGCTGAGTCATTCATATGATTTGAAAAGGAATGGGAGGTTAATATTAGATTTATATTAAGGAATATGAGTTTTTATTATTTACTGTTTTTAAAGACTGTGTTGTAAGGCTTTGTTCTTTGTGTTTTGTAGTTTGCTCAGGAGTAACTGAATCAGCTCAGCTGGTCAGCACCACCAAAGAGATGTACAACTGGATCCTGTCTGTTCCATCTAACAGCATAAACATGATCTTCCAGGAGGTGAGTCTGTGTGTGTGTCGTAGAAGGTTCTAGACTGCATTTGCAAGTAAAAAATATGATATTTATGTACATGTTTTGACAGACAGACAGATCATATAAGTATACATTGTTGTATAGAAGTTGTATTAGATTATAGTATATACACTACTGTTTAAAAGTTAGGGGTCTGTACATTTTTGTAATTTTGAAAGTAGTCTCTTATGCTCACCAAAGCTGCATTTATTTGATTAAAAATACAGTTTAAAAAGTTATTTTCTGAAATATAATGTGACAATTTAAAATAACTGTTTTCTATTTTAATATATATTTTAATGTCATTTATTCTTGTGATGGCAAATCTGAATTTTCACCTGTCTTTACTCCAGTCTAATAAATAATTCTAATATGCAGATTTGCTGGTCAAGAAACATTTCTTATTGTTATCGATGTTGAAAACAGTTGTGCTGCTTAATATTGAGGTATTTAAGGATTCTTTGATGAGTAGAAAGTTCAAAAGAAAAAAAAGTATTATAAATGCCTTCTACATTACCTTCACTTTTGATCAATTTAATGCACCTTTGTTAAAAAAATCTACATAAAAAAAAATAATAATCTACTTACCCCAAACGTTTGTAATGTATGTTATGTTTCTGTGGTGTTGTATTTTAATTCTGTATGTACAGGTGCATCTCAATAAATTAGAATGTCGTGGAAAAGTTCATTTATTTCAGTAATTCAACGTGTTCATCATCTCAGGTGCTGGTTGACCTGAATTCTAAGAATGAACGTGGTTTGTATCAGTCACGGATCAAGACCACTGTTGGTGGGCGACCTTTGACCTTTTACAGCTTGGTGGGTTTAGAGAATGAGGCGTTCTACCGCAGCATGCCACGCATCATTGCCATCGCCATTGATGCTCTCAAAACGTAAAACACACTCATGTATGCTGCTGAAATTATACTTGAGCTGAAATGGCATCCCCAACATCGAACGTTATTACATCTTAAATTCTCTAATGTGACCTGCTGCTATGGAAATGATTGGATGGGACCTCCTTGCTTGAGTCATCACAGGACAGCTGACTCTTCTGGAGTTGGTCACTGCATACTGAAACTGGACTGATGGTGACTGTATGTCCACCCTGACTTAACTTATTACACAGGGACAGAGGTTGATCCTCCTGTCTGAGCTGCAAACTGTACAGATATTATATTTGATGTTTGTTATATATTTATTTGTGTTTCTTTGTATTTTTTATATGAAAACAAAGATACAAAATGAAATGGAGTAAAAGACTGAATCATATTTAAATAAATGTTGTCGTCATGAGCTTGTCAGGAACTCTTTTTTTAATTACTTATACCTATATATATTATACATATATGTGACCCTGGACCACAAAACCAGTCATATGGGTCAATTTTTCGAAATTGAGATTTATACATCATCTAAAAGCTGAATAAATAAGCTTTCCATTGATGTATGGTTTGTTAGGATAGAACAATATTTGGCCGAGATGCAACTATTTGAAAATTTGGAATCTGAGGGTGCAAAAAAATCAAAATATTGAGAAAATCACGTTTAAAGTTGTCCAAATTAAGTCCTTAGCAATGCATATTACTAATACAAAATTAAGTTTTAACACATTTATGGTAGGAAATTTACAAAATATCTTCACGTAACATTATCTTTACTTGATATCCTAATGATTTTTGGCATAAAAGGAATCAAAAGGACGATCATTTTGGTCCATACAATATACTTTTGGCTATTGCTACAAATATACCCGTGCTATTTAAGACTGGTTTTGTGGTCCAGGGTCACATATACTATATATATAAATAAAGTATATGAACAGTACATTGATATAATAATGTGTATAAGTACAATGATTAATATAGGCAGAAATTGAATGTATTATAATATAGTAGTAATTATTATTTCAATTTTTCTGAAAAAAAAATGGCATTGTAGTATACAGTATGAGCTACAACATATTTTTTTTATTAAATTGAGCAATTCACTTTCATTTTAACCTCCCTCCCTCTTCCTTTCTTTTTCTTTTTCTCCTCCTTTCCCCTTTTCATTTTTCCCTTTCTCCTTTTTCCAGGCGTGTATTTCACACCATTTCTAATCTTTAATTCCTGTTGTATTTGTCAACCCATTCTTTTCATTTCTACTCATATTTATCCTTGCACTACTGCTTACTCTCATATAACATTTCTATTTCAGATTTATGGGAAAAGGAAGTAATTGCTGCGAGAAATCACCTTATTTAAAGGCTTGTTTACCTCCACTGAAACTGCACTTGCTATGATCATGTCAGTTCATAGCAGCTGAACATCTCTGTCAGCAGGAAGCACTTTTTTTGTTGGCTCAGATTTAATGTCTGAGGTGTTTTAGTATATGGGAACTGTGCTAATTGGGCTGTTCCACGACAGGTGTCCCTACATTAAAACGTCATTCTGATTCTTTATTTGGAGCTGATGACAATCCTCTAGGCTTCAGAATGAGCACTAAAGATTCTGGAGGATCCTAAAGGAACACTGAGAAATGTCATGCTGCATTAGTACTTGATAGTTGACAGTTGCAGGTCATTGTCTGTTCCACCTTTAAAAAGCATTCTTAAGTGGTTTCTTCAGAGCAATGTAAATTCACTTTCAGTGCCAATCAACTGTAGTTGCACAGGTTGACATGTTTATATAATCCTTGAGTGTGTTTCGGGATCAGTTTGGGCCCTCCTGTACTTCTGAATGGATAGAAATAATGCATGAGATGGGGTAGTGGATGCCAGAAGAACTGTCACAGAAGTGATGCAAACAGCTGTTAATATATTCTTGCATAATGATTGACAGGATTGGATGAACTAGCTCCTCTCACACTCTAGTTTAGAATTCCATTTTAATCCATCTCTTGCAAATCTCAATCAACAGTACTACCAGATAGTGCAAGGATTCTATTCTATTCTATTCTATTCTATTCTATTCTATTCAAATGGAATTATATGGAAAGATTTTGTATTAATAAGCCCTGCATCTCTGATCCTCAAACAAACAACCAGTCTAGAATACGTCATTCCAAAATTCCAAAGTGTTAAAAATAAACCCCAACACTCAATGGTGAAGGATTGTAATGGTGCAGGGTGGCAACACATGATATTTCTGAACACTCTGTCTATGATCAGATATTACGATCCGTTGTTACAATTATTCAGACAGCTTTACACATTAAATTCATAGTTTAATCAAAGGATGTCGAATAAAGCATCCATCCATCAATTCCCATCATGCATTCATTGGTTAGTCTGTCTGTCTGCGTTTATATTTATTTATTTGTTTGTTTGAACTGTTCATTTACACCAGACACCAGGTGAACCAGCTTATGAGGCAATAATATCCATTTCGATTTTCAACTCGAATGCTTGAAATTGCTGTTGTACAAGTTCTGTAAAAATTATTTTGAGTGACTTACTTTTTAGAATATTAGTTACTTTTTTGTTCCACTAACTGAAAATGTTCCAAAAACATCCAAAGCAGAAACAACATTTTCTCCAAATAGTGAATGATTGAATGACTTTTTCATAAAGACAGTTACTGTACAGTATATGTTTATTTTTGAATAAATCTGTTTTTAACAAATCAGCTGAGCGAATGATTAAATGACTCCAAACCTCAGTTTTGAAATGTCAGACTTTTTTTTGGAAAAAATGGACATGTATCCAAGTTTCTCATTTGATTTATCTCCAAGACATCTTAAAACATAGCTGACTAAGTGCAGCTGTCATAAATGTATGCCTCAGAGATGCCATTAGGTTTAAAATAATACACTAGAGGATGTGATCCCCATTAGCACCCGTTGACCCACAGTACAGCTCACAGATCTGCTCACACACTCAAACATTCCAGAAAACTGTCTATTCATGCATAAAACATGCATGAAATCTTCCCTAAACACCTCAAGATTGGAAGCAAAGCCAATTTCCCAATTTGTAAATGAAGGAATTTATGGTGTTATGACCCTCTCTGTCTCCCCAGATGACAATCATTAGACAGAGATGAACATATGTCAGCTGATGACACACGTCCTTCCACAAATCATGCCTGGGACACCATCTGTGCACTGACTTGTGGGAAATACTGTAACCTGTAAACTTTCTGCTTTACATAAGAGAGAAACAGACAGAGAGAATACAACTAGTTCCTGTGACCTCGTTTTGAGGTCTTCAATGTGTGTGTGTGTGTGTGTGCGTGAGTGTGTGTGTGTGTGTGTGTGTGCGCGCGCGCGCGTGTTTTTTTGACATATGAGGACACAAATTTGTATAATGACATGGGTATGACATAGGTATTACGTGACAGCTGACAATGTGAGGAACTGTATGGGTACAGACTGTGTGGGTATTCTGAAAATAACAATGAGGATTCAAGTTTGGAACCACACCTATTTTTCCTGTAACCCTTCCCATTCCTAAACAACTGTGTTTCCCTCACACACACACACACACACACACACACACACACACAAAATAACAATGAGGATTCAAGTTTGGAACCACACCTATTTTTCCTGTAACCCTTCCCATTTCTAAACAACTGTGTTTCCCGGTGCTGGAGAGCCCTTCTTCACTAATGCTGCTCTGAGGATATTAGACATGGATCCAATCACTTCCACAAAAACCGTCTGGTTATGGATGCTTCTATCATTCTTATTCTCAGGTAATACAATATGTTTTTCTGAGTTCTGAGGATTTGTGATACACAAAGTCACATGGATTATAAACTTGTGAAGTTTTTAGTGAGTCACCATGGGTTTGTTCTAACGCTTTCTTTAGAAATCCAGCTATTGAGTGAACTAATTCAGTTCAACACATGCAGACCGTCATAAACAATATGTTGTAGAAAGCAAACTGAAAAGAAATTCTGGCGGACAAATCCTTTATGGCACCACTGGACTTTACATGTTCACACTTTGTCTTTATGAAGTGTTAAAGTTAGAGAATGGAGTGTCAGCATGCTAAACTGTCAAACAGGGTGTTAAATAGGGTGTTAAATCCTTGTTGATTTGCACGAGTATTACATACAGTAAAAGCTTGCCATGTCTATAAACATATATCTGCTTTAGTAATAAAAATACTATTTTAACTGTAAAGATGTAATATGTGTGTACTCAGACCAAGACTAAAGGTCAGCAAGAAGATGATTCTGAAACTAATTTGGAAGAACAAACAAACAAACAAAAAACTCAGCACAAAATGTTGAACCCTAGGATTCAATACAGTGGGCCTAATTGGTATTTAGACATAAGTTACACTTAATACATAAATGAATGTAATTACATTACATAATAGAAGAGGGGGGAAATACAAACATACAAAACATCTCCAACAGGCACAGGATCAAAACAGAAAACTTGAAATTAAATGAAGAAAATCCACACACTGGAAAATCCACAAACTGCACTTTTCCCAGAACTAACTTCAATTTTATGGTAATAAATGACTTGCAATGATTTTAACCTAATCTAAGAACATTTAGAGCATTTATGACATTTTCATATTTTATCCAAATGCAAAACACATCTTGTGTTTTGTAATTTACCTTACGATCTTAATATGAAATATTATGAAATGTGAACTATTTTGCTTGAAATTGTTTCATTATCTTCTCTGAATCCCACATGATTTGATATTTTAAACTAAACTTAATCAAATAAATAATCAAGCACGAACAATTTATAACTTTTATTTATAACTAAACTATTACTTAGTGCTAAAGTTGTAATAACTTATCACAGTAATAATTTTTACAGTGAACACTCAAAGTTGTAGTTGTGCATAGTGATGCTCAATAAAACATTTTCAAATGTTACTTTTTTTTTTTTTTTTTTCAAATTATCTTTACTAATTTTGTGGAAAAGTTTTCCTTATTTAAATTAAATTAAGTGAACAATTTGTATTTATTTATTCATTTATTTTTTAACTTTTTTGATGAATAATAAAATGAAGAATTGGATTGACATGGTATGTTGTGTGTTTCAGATGGGATCTGTAATCTAGAAGGAGCTCTGCACAGAGATCTAATGGTGGGATACAACAAGAACATACGGCCTATGGAGAACCATGGTGACATCATCGATGTGAAGATCAAGATGACCCTCACAAACCT